TAACAATGTCAGCAAAATAATTAAACACAGTCATTCTGAAAGGTATCTACAGAAGCAACAACCAGAACAATTATGAGATACGAAAGCTGGCCCTAATCTGATTCCCTGCACACCCCTTTAAAAATCTCTCAAGAATGGTCAGAGCAGGGAGGTGGTAATATTCTTTAAGGAGAAAGGTACATTACATCACAGAAATCAACTCTAGAAGGGGATGGAAAGAAAGAAGAGAATATGCATGAAACAGCTTGCCATCTTTAAAAAAACAAAATAAAAAAAAAGTGTGCACATCAAAACTTCCACAACCATGACAAATGGACCACATCCAATCTGTCAATTGTCAATCCAATCTGGGTAGTATTACCATATTAAACTTCAAAAAGCCCACTTATTTAGTGCCCTTTCAAAATTAGTATCAAGTGAACATTAATGTGACAGCTTCTAAGTTTTGCTTTTTCCAGTCTTCTTTCTAAGGGTTTCATACAGTCTGAATGGTGCTACAGATAGAGGCATGCCTTAAAAGCATAAGAGGAACCATGCTGGATCAAACCAAAGGTGTTTCTATTTCAGAAATCCATTCCTGTGATAGCCAAGCAGATGCCTATGAGATGCTCACAGATCAGAGGTTTATTTTATTTATTTATTATTTATTTATCGATTTATATCCTGCCTTTTTCCTACAAAGGGCTCAAGGCAGCTTACATCATTCTCCTCCTCCATCTTATCCCCACGGCAACAACCCTGTGAGGTAGGTTGGGCTGAGAGTCTTGACTGGTCCAAAGTCACCCAGTTGGTTCCATGGCTGAGCGGAGACTAGAACCCAGATCGTCTGAGTCCCAGTCCCATGCTCTTCACCACGACACCACACTGGCTCTCCATGTTCATGCGCTTCTGCCACAGGTATTCAGAAGTACATTTCTATATTTTCAAAGGGAATTCATCCTGCCACCCATTCACTGCCTTCTATGTGAACAACACTTGGGCAACATGTTATCTTAACAATACTGATTATTTATATTCTTGTGATCATCCCAAGGAAGTACTTAACAAAAGTCAAAGGTTTATTTTCCAATATTCTAAAAATTAGTTAAGTCATAGAAAGTTGCTGCCTCTTCTGTAAACGAATAGAATTAGTAAAACTATAACTCTCCAGTAATGTATCAAGCAGGGGAAGATGCTTCACATTCCCCAGCTGTCCTCCTAGCAGCAGTCATCAAATAAGAACACAATGCACTGATGACTAGGTACAGCATCATTCAATCCTCCCCAGCCACACTACCTTGAAGATGCCAAAAAGGCACAGGACACCAATCCTAGAGTTGCAAAACCAGAAGAGATGGGGCAAGGGACATACAAAGAAGATGAATATGCAACATAGCCACTAGAAACTGGGATGGCTCATGAATTGGCGTGCCCTCCCTTCCTTTTAAGATTGCTAAGGCTTTGCAAGGAAGGTAAAAGTATTAAGCTGATTATTTCACTTTAAGCAAAAGAATTAACAGCTATAAGATACAGCTGGCTCAGTGGAGAGGCGTTGAGCTAATCTGCAAGGACAACTGGAGCCTTTGAACTTAATAGAGGCTTTACAGCAACAGCCCTGGCATCTCATGCTTTAAAAAGGATACTTGCTAAAGCTGAACTGGGAGGCAGGGAGAAAGAGAATGTTTTGTGAAGCTGTCAAAAGCACATGATAGAGAACCCAAGTATAAAGAAAGAAATGCAGATAATTTCAAACTTTAACTCTCCAGTGATTTATCAAGTGGGGGAAATTTGCAATAGTTTAAGTTATCATACATGGCTTATGCCAAGGGTGGACAGAAAGTTGATCTCCAGACATTTAAGATTTCAATTCCCATAATTCCTCCTCACTGGCCATGCTAGCAGGGGCTTCTAAGATCTAAAGTCCATCACGTCTGGACATCTACCTTTTGCTCACCCCTGGCCTATGCCATCTAACACACAACAGGTTTCAAAATGTAGTATCACACCTTATTCAAGCCCCACAAAAACTTAGGCTCTACCATGACAGATTTTATGTATTATTATCTAATCTACCACATAGCATGCATCACCAGGAAGTAATGTCAGCACCAGATAGATTTCTGGGCATGAGATTTCCTACCCCTGATCTAATCTTGCATCTAATCTAATCTTAACTAAGTAAATATGTTAATTGAGCATGAAATTAAGAACACAGGGGAAAGAATGAGAAGGCAAATAAAAAGGAAGGTCGCCTGGTGTCTCTTTTCTACTAATCCCTTGCTAAGAGCAGAGAGTGATTTTTCTGAAGGGTAAGTCAGGCACCTAGGAAATGTACAGATAAGGCAGATTTTCAATTTCTCTTGATTCACCAGACTTCCATAGTAATTATGCCACTCCTCACATTAATAAATCAGAGCTGGGACCATAATCAAACTGGAATAGTCAAGATGAGTAATATACCAGTTCTTCTTTACTGCTGCATTCCACACACATTATTTCCTGACCAAGAGTAGTCCATTCTGCATTCCATATCATATTTATTGCAATCTTATCCTAAGCTTACCAAAGAAGAAAAATGCATTCTTTCCTAGGCCCCCTTCAGGCTTTTCATCACTTTCCTCAGCTTATGAACATCTCATAAGAGGCTTTGAACTTGTTACAGAGAACACAGACTATAAAGTGTTGATGGACTCATGCTCTCATTTCTGTTCCATGACAGAAGGAATGGGTATATAGTTGTCGTCATTCCACATAAGATTTGTCAGAGCTAGGACTTCCAAACAAGCCATCTCACTTATTTTATGACTCAGGATTATTGGAACTAATAACCTTCCTGGGAGAAAGAGAAATGTTATGTCATACTTCTCACTTTGCTGAACTATAGCGAAGCTGGAGAAGGACATAAAAACCAGTTTCTACTTCTGCACATCTATTGATCATTCATTGCTGATATATATTTGACTAGAACTTTTTACATGGTATAGGCCTGAAGTTGCATTATAAAATCCAATTGTATCCAACTATTTTGCATTGAATGGAAATCCATCTCCCAACAAACGCACATATGCACTGAGAAACATTGCTGGAATAATTCAAGTTTAGAAACAAGAGAAAAGATGGATAGCTTCATCTCATAAACCCCAATTTAAAAACTAACTGGTTGCCATGTGCAGCACACCTGCCTGTGCCTTTACTACATAACCCACAATTGGCTCTTTTGGGGATTGTGAAATGTGAACTCCAAGCACAGCCTGCTGGGTTATTTAGGGACTAACCAGTCCAGCAGTTAACCCAACAACAACAATGGGTTAACAACAGGTTTGTTTAGTCCCTAAAACAATCCACAGGTCTGGGTTCAGATGTCATGTTGCCCAATCTATAAAGAAGCTAATTCTGGGCTGTGTGTCCGCTCATGCACAATAACTTATGAGTTTTTAAACAAATGGGTTTCATTATGGGCAGATTAAGTCATTGTGTCATTTACACCACAGACTAATATCACAGGACTAGAGGCCAATGTCTTAAACATAGGAAGCCTTCTTTCCAGAGAAAGGTCAAAAGCTATTCAGTAATGGAACTCTTAGTTAACCAAAGGCCTCCAGTTAAGAAGGATCATTTCAATGAACAAGGACATAACAAGGCCATTAAGTATCTTACTCATTTCAAACACAACCCATTCAAAGTTAAAGACCGAATATCCGCTTCCGCCTTTCAGCTTCTGAATCCTCACATATGCTGTTAGATAGATGCATATATTTGATAAAACCCTTCAGCATAATCATACTGCAACACTGGTTTTATTTTAATTGAAGACCTAAATTATTTTATAAGCAGTTGAAGTCTGATTCTCTGTCTCTTCCTCCACTCATACACACAGCGTGGTGAACAATTAAGTTTGGATCAGACACTTTCCCAATGGCAACTTGTAATCTGAAACTAGAAACACTAGAAAAGGAAACTGGAAAAAAGAAGAAACAATGCACAAATACTAAGGCACAGTTACATTTACTAAAGATTGTAAAAGACGCAAATCAGAAGGTGAAATCAAGGAATGGACATGCATGTACAAACTAGCGACTTTTACATATAGAGAGGAAAAAAACAGTAGGGAGGGGAAGAGTGAAAGTCCACTGAGATACAATGCATGCTGGCGGCACATCAACCTGCCCTTCTTGCAAATAGACACAAGATTTAAGGTAGCTGAAGAGTTTTGCCTGCATGTTTCTTCTGCCCTCAACAGGATGCCCATAATTCTCTGAGTTCAGAGGGTAATGGGCAGCTATATTGGGTGGTGCTACCTGAGGACAATTTTATGGCCCCTTGGTGGGCACACCACAGACCAAAGTACAGTGCACACTGCCTGTCTCTTCATAGATATGCCCTGGGGGAATCCAAGTGAGGATTTTCTCATTCCTCTCCACTGTGGAAAGCTTCAGGAGAAGTAAGAAAAAAAGGGTCAGGGAGGAAGAAAAGGCTCAGAGGCCTGCCTAGTTAAATAGATTAAGAAGCAGGAACAGGACCTCCCACCTCCAAATGCCTCCACTGTTCCTTACATCCTGCCTACCAGGGCTTAGGATAGATGCAGGACTCCAACTACAGAGCAGCACCCCATAGGACTGCTCTTATAGCACTTTCTCTCTATAATGTCATAACAAGTGAGAAGATAATGCTACATATATCATTCATTTCTCATTTTAAACTTTAGAACCTAAAGTAATAGAAAACTATTTCATTTAGCTGAGTTCCCCCCATCTCTCTCTCTCTCTCTCTCTCTCTCTCTCCACACACACACACACACACACACTGCATGGTGGACGTGCACATGCGTACACACACACACACACCCAGTATCCCCTATTCAGTTTTGCACCACTAAACGCAGTGTTGCATAACCACAGAATCCATTTAAATTAAGATAAATCCTCAGTCACGATCACAGTAATATCTAGTACAATTAGAGGAAAAAATGTGATGGAAGAGCAGAAATACAAAGTACAAGCATGAGGGAACAAGTCACTTACTTTGGGAATATGGAAGTCATGAGTGCAGATGCATACCCAGGCTTGCAAACTCCCTCTGAGATGTTAGCATACTTTGATGCTAGTTCTGGAGGCCTGTGAAGAAAGAATAAGCATAAAGTTGTTTCTAAGTAAGAAGTGTTAATCATGCCAGCTTGATCCTTTTGCCAGCATTTTTTCTCAAGTGGTTAAAAGCAGCAATAGGAACAAATGCCTTCCCAGATCAAAATGGAACATCCAAATGTTTCAAGGGATGTCTGGCATCTAATATACTCCCTTGCCATTGTAGGACTTTTAGATACCAAGAAAGGAGTAAATGAAGGAATCTCAGGAGCTATTTTAGACTTTAATTTTCCAGTAAGAGTGGAGGTAAGAGCTACAAAGACCCCTGTGTTAGGCTGTTCTTCTGTGGCACGAAAGATCTACATGTCTTGTGAAGTTACTATTTTCAGAGCAAGACTAACCAAATTATCACAAATTTGTACCAGCCAGTGTGGGAATGGACATTTATACCACAGGCCCAACACTGTTTCCTTCATTCATTTTCTAATAGCCCAGCCTCTCACCCAATCAACTGGCATGTGAAAAGATGAATATACAAGGCTTTACATTCTTAGGAAAGGCATTGCAGTTGAGCAGTTAATGTTTCTGTTAGACTAGAAGAAAATTAAATACTTGAACAAAGCCATATGCCCCATGATTCAAGTAAACTGCTTAGGTTTTTTCTACCCTATCTCACCATCAAGCACTTCAACTTACCATACTTAACAATTGTCTTAAGAGACTAGGCTTCATAAACTTTCTGGGTAGATGTTATTAAAATGTTAACTCTGTACAGAATAATTGCAGTTGTAGGGGCAAAGGTACTTTTTAAACTGTGCCTTTTCATTTTACCGACAAATAGAAAAAGAGAAATGGCAACAGATGATTTATAATTTGCTGTGTATTTACTATTTGTATATTTTGCTTTGGTGAGTGAATGGCAACTGTTGCTACCTCAATGGCTGCAATCCTCTACCTGCTTATCTGGGAGTAAGCCCCAGTGAGACTTACATTGTACAGGATTGCAATCCAGTCAATGAATAATCCTCTGTAATTGACATCTGCCACAAACAAAAACCTATGAAAAAGCATTCCATGAAGCTTAAAGGAATTAAGGTAGCAGACTAATCTCTCGAGAATCCAGTAGAGCAACTGTCCATCTGTTTCGGTCCATTTTCACCTATATAAATGTTTGAATCACCATCTTTGATACAGCTGAAGGCTACGTAACTGAACAATCATGGCATAACTTCTCCCACAATACTTGCAGGTTCAGGAACCAGGCCACTTGCTGAGATGGCTCAGCTCAATACATAAATGACAGAGTTTCCAGTCTGGTAGAGAATATCAGTTTTCATAACCAAGTAATGAAAAGGACATAACTTTAAAAATTCAAATTTCTTTAAAGCAAAATGTTTGAAAATTTGAACCTGGACCTTATACAGATATTTTGGTGGAGATTCACAGACACTGGCAAAATCGGCAACCTTGTTTTCTGTTAGTGCAAAGCCTTTACTGAATATAATCTACTGCATCGTGTGTGTTCAGATATAAGAATATCCTTGCATTTGAGAAATTAAAACCCAAAATGAATAAAAGCATTCTGCTGTCCATCCATTCTACATTGTCATAGAATGTGTGAGGTTGCTGCAAAGGACAGCATATAAATGTTTTAATTAAATTAAATTAAAATTAAATAGAATCATAGAATGGTTGAGTAGGAAGGGGCCGAGAAAACCATTGGATCCAACCCACTGCTAGTGCAGGATATTAAGCTACACCATGCCACACAGATGACTGTCCAGTCACTTCTTGAATACCTCAAGTATGGGAGAATCCACAGCCTCCTTAGGTAATAGGTTCCATTGTCATACTGCTCTGACAATGAGGAAATTTTTCCTGGTATCTAGCTGGAATCTTGAAACTCAACGTTAAGAAAACTAAGATCATGGCATCCGGTCCTCTCACTTCCTGGCAAATAGATGGGGAAGAAATGGAGGTAGTGACAGATTTTATTTTCCTGGGCTCCAAGATCACCACAGACAGGGACTGCAGCCAAAAAATTAAAAGACGCTTGCTCCTGGGGAGGAAAGCTATGGCAAATCTAGACAGCATACTAAAAAGCAGAGACATCACCCTGCTGACAAAAGTGCATATAGTCAAGGCTATGGTTTCCCAGTTGCAATGTATGGCTGTGAAAGCTGGACCATAAGGAAGGCTGAGCGCCGAAGAATTGAGGTCTTTGAATTGTGGTGCTGGAGAAGACTTCTGCGAGTCCCTTGCACTGCAAGGCGATCAAACCAGTCAGTCCTAGAGGAGATCAACCCTGACTGCTCTTTAGAAGGCCAGATCCTGAAGATGAAACTCAAATACTTTGGCCACCTAATGAGAAGGAAGGACTCACTGGAGACACAACTTCACGACTAACAACAACAACAAAGCTGGAATCTGGTTCACTCATAATTTCCACAATCCATAAAGAACTATTTCCCCAGCTTGCTTTTAGCAAGGCTCTAAAACTTCAAAATCTGAATGTCAAAATGACTTCTTGAGCTACTAGTTCATTTGACTAGTGCCAAATGAGAAATGTATGTCCATTATAGAAGTCACAAGTGTATCCAGTCATTTGTTAATTTGTTAAACTTTTTCTAATGTGATACAAGCTCATATTCCAAACCCAGGCAAAACTTGACTCCAAGGCAGGTTAAACTAGGCTTGCAACCCAAAAACAGCTAGGAACACCAACTGGTCAGCATTACCTCATTGCCCATACTGACCACATACTTTGTCATTCTTTTCTGTCATTTCTGAAACCATTTTGCCCTTTAGTGATCTGGGGATGTTTATTTGTCTGGACATATTAACCACAACAGATCTCTGTCTTTATTAATCTATCACAAAGACATTCACAGTCAGCTTGAATACTAATGTAGAGCTAATAACCTGGACCACATCAAAGATGACACCAAAGAGGAAGAAAGGATTGCTGTCCATGACACAGTCAAGGCAAGTCATAGCCTGAGGTGCCAAATAGTATATAAAGCATGCTGTATTTCTGACAGATCCTCTCAGATAAAATCCCAGCCCATATACCACAGTAGTGCTTCTAAGATCAACATCTATTAAGACATTTAGAGCAGCAGAATACAGTCCTTCAACAATTTTCCTCAACTCTTGCATTATAGTCAGTGCATTTACTGTGCTCCATAAATTTGATATATATCTTTATGGTTCATGCCCATCACTTTAAATCAACATTTCTGCACTCCAATTTATTGTTGTCAATCTATCACCTCACTCTATCAATATCAGCACTAATATTTTAAGTTGTCAGCACTAACTCCCCCATCCGCATGCTCATTAAATCCGCTGCTGATTCAACCCACTTCAAAGTCCTATTAGACAACATTAGTATTTTACATAAGGGACAGGGAGGCAGATGAGTGTCACTGGCAGAAATTTAAACACAGTAATATTGTTCTGCAGCTTTCTGAGTAAGTAAAGTATAATTGGCACTATATTAAAAGTGCTTCTATTTGTAATAAAAAGGGTTGTGTAGTTTTCCCTACCGGACAGGCTGAGTCATTGCTGATGAAAAGAAATATAGTAAATGCATTTTTTAAATGCTGGAAAACTAATTAAATACCTATGGCTCCCACCTGTATTTTACATTTCCATTAAAAACAGAAAATAAAAGCTTCGCTTCTTACAACACTAAATTTTAACACAGTATTTACCACTGACTACTATGAATGGCACTATGACAGGAGTATCTACAATAATAAATAAATACTTTTTCATCTCTAATAGCCAACACTCCAATTTTTCTGCACTTTATCAGTACATATACAACTTAAACTTTACCAGGTATTTGCTCCCCTTGTGTTACACCTTCTATCTCTATAAAGCAATAGGAAGAAACTAGAAATATCATAAAACTATGCTGACTACTTCTGAAGTTTCATCAGTAGGTTACGTGCTCTTAGAACTGAAAACTGGCTATTCAGTTTGAATAGGATGATATTAGCTTTATGTAGCATGGAACATTCCAGACAGACTCTTCCTGCAGTCATGGCAGCAAAGGGTCCCCAGCTACTCCAGATTTTTCAAAACTCGCTTTCAAGGTATAGTAATAACATGTATCATGCATGATCAGACCTGAAGCCAATCTAGTTCAGCATGTTGCTCATATAATGGACAACTAGATGCCTCTGGAAAGCCCAGAAGCTCTGAATGCAATAGCACAGTCCTGCCCATGTACCTCAGCAACTGGAATTCTGAGCCATATTGCTAGTAGCCACTGAAAGCCTTAGCTCTGCAAATTTGGTTTTTAAAGTTAATGGCCATCACTACATCTTGTGGAAGCAAATTCTATAACTACGAACTGTGTGACTTCTTTTTATCTGTCCTGAATGTCCTCCACTCAGCTTTAGTGGATGATCCCAGTTTATAGCATTACAGGAGATTACTCACTTTTTCTATACCATGCATAGTTTTGCACTCCTCTGTCTTGTTTCTTCCTCCTTACTAGTTTTTGAGTTAAAAAGTCCCAGCCCCTTGAAAGCTTTCAGCACAACAGTGTTGCCAGGTTTCTGTACTTTTTCCAGCTCTAAAATATACTTTATCTGGTGCAGTAACCAGGCTTAAACATACATAGTCCAAGTCATGTCATAGACTTCTACAATGGCATTATGAGATTGGCAGTTTTATTTTCAATATCTTTCTTAACAATCCCCAACACTAATTTTCCTTTTTCACCGCTGCCACAACTGGATCAACACTCTCATCTACCACAATTACAAGGACCCTTTCTTGTTTAGTCACCATCAATTCAATTTGCACCAGCATATATGTGGAGTTTGGATTTTTGATCCAATGTACATCACTTTGTGAAGCCTCATCTTGTGAAGCCTCATCTCCATTGTTCACTCTTCTTTCTAGAAGAGAAGCCTATTCTTGGCCTAGATGGCAATAATTGGTTCTAGTCAAGTAGAGGACTGGCATTTATGGCAGAAGTTCCAAAACCATTTTATGTTCCAGCACTATTTCCAATT